TTTAGGCATTAGATTAAATTTATACCCCGCGCGTGTTTTGGTTAAAAATATTCGACATTCCACCGCAACATCAGCGCTTCAAAATCCTACGCATTATTTTCAATGTATAGTTTTGGGAACATTTTTCCCTCGCTGGTGCATCACAATCATCGCGATGTACCATTCTATATTGACCGTACGTGTTCGGAATAATGTGCCCTTTTCCGGGATTTGCAGCTATTTTTATTTAGTATTGATCGTCAGCCGTCGGGTTCGACCCCCGTTGCCGATTGAAGGGTTATCCGGCCGTGTAATTGGCTAGTTACAATTCATTATGTTCCGGTATCGTGATTTTTTGGTATTTCTCACTTAACTATAGACGTACTATCGCCCTACATGTACCTTTTTGTATAATGCAAGGTACACGCTTTTTTGCACACACTGTTTTTGAATGAACATGTGTGTCTCTATAATGATAATTCGTGTTGATTTGTGGCTCATTATGTTATGATTTACGTCGAAAATGTACCAACTACATGACCATTTTAGGTTATATTAAATTTAAATAGTTTACCTAAATAAAAATCACGTTTAGCTCTTTGTTCTTTGTAATCTACAGTCAGCAGAGGGAAGATAAATTGTTCTTAAAAGCGGCCAATAAATCGATACACCTAAGTGTGGACAAAGGGCGGTAATTCTTCATTAGAGGCAACTCCGGTCAAGTACTGCCTCTAGGGGTTGCCAATCAACACTGCCCGCTCTTGGGGTAAGTTTGTATGAGCAATGAATCAAGGATATATATGAAAAAGTTTCAATATATTTAAGAATATAAACGCTTTAATTTTATACCGCCTGCGAAACTACTGTCTCCGTCACCCTAGTGGGTAATGCAGCTTATTAGCTAATACCTTTGACGGCTTTACATTATGTTATACTATCTACTATTAAAAAAAAACAGAAGAACAATTTCAGTCCTATTGGAAGGTTAGATGACGCGACTTTCATTTCCAAGTAATCTAATATAACTTTTTCTGTGTTTTATTTCTAAAACAGGCTATGGTCCTGGTAACAAAGTTCATTCCTATGGGTGAAAAACTAAAGAAATTTTCACGTGTTCGAGGGAAATTGTAGAAAAAAACGATGAGCGGACCCTAGCCCTTCTATTAGGCGTGAGTTTTATTTAATTTGGCCCCAAGAAAACACCCCCGGTCAATGTTAGCTCTGCCCGCACATGTCCAAATGGACACGGATAAATTATTGCTTTTTTGCAATAAATGGGAATTTAGCATTATTGCAGTGTTATCACTGATTTTGGTGCACATTTATATTTTTCTAAATAAATAATAACCTAATATATATTAATTATATGTAACGATATCAACTTTGAAATAGGACGTCTTCAATATACTTAATTGTGGCAGAAGGCCGGCAACGCACTCGCCATCTGTTAACTTAACCGTTTTCTTCATCTGTTTGATCTTATTATAACTCCGCTAAAAACGGCGAAGAATCTGGCTTGCCTTAGACCTGGAGGTTGTAGCGCCACTGTTTATTTTTCTATTAAAAAAAGCTACATATTCATTGAGCAGTGTTGCCCTAGTGGCTTCAGCGTGCGACTCTCATCCCTGAGGTCGTAGGGTCGATCCCCGACTGTGCACCAATGGACTTTTATGTGCGCATTTATATTCGCTCGAACTGTGAAGGAAAACATTGTGAGGAAACCGGCTTGCCTTAGACCCAAATATTCGACGAACTTGCCTATTCTATTGACAATTTATGATCATGAAACAGATACAGAAATTTGAGGCCCAGACCTAAAAAGGTTGTAGCGCCACTGATTTATTTTATTTTATATATTAATTATGATTTATTAACTCTAAGATTGGCTTTTCTTTTTTTGTCATGCACTTCTTGTACTTACCTCAGAAGGTATTTCTTTTTTTACCTATATGAATAGAGCTAGGGTTGCCTGGATAAACCTTTGCCTAATAATTAATGTAACCAGTTTTTTATATGTATGTTTAATGTAACGAATAAATAAAGCTTCCTTAGGCTATGTTACAATATTCTTTGATGAACTTTAAACACCGGAACATATATCTCAAAGTTAAACTTAATTCCTTCCCAGCATAATGGCATGTTATTAAAAACTTTTCCGTTAATGTGGTGGCATTAGAGCTTCCACAAATTGCACTCATAATACCATTTAGATCTTTCTTACGGGTAATGCGGAGCTCTGTACGTAATGAGAAAATTATACGAAGACTTAGCGACCTTAATAAAAATTTGTTCCTGGGGTCGATCAAATGTAATAACAAATTGATGATACGTGATGAATTTTGGATAAAGTTTTAAAAATTTACAAAGCTTTCGTATTGTTTTGACATTTAGGAATTACTGTTTTAAGGGAATTTTAAGTTTGGACTTTTTCTTATAAAGTGCGTGGCTTAATTAAATAAAAAGGATAATAATATTTTCAATATCACTTGGTAAACAAATGTACTTTGTTTCATACGAGTATTTTAATTTAAACTAGCGAACCGCGAACTTTGTTTCGCATAGAACATATTGCTATCCCATAGAGACTGTTCGCTTTTGCGAATTAAAACGTAAGTACTAAACAAAAAATAATTTCCTCTCGATAAAAACCCTCGTCAAGGAATAAAAAAATACCCGAATTACCAGCAATGGTCCAGCCTTCTTAGGGTTTAATGATAAAAAAATGTATCCAAAAAAAATATTTTTTTTTGGGGTGGACACCTCTTATCACTTAGGAGTTCTAAGGATAGTAGCCGATTCTCAGACTTACTGAATATGCATTAGAAATTTTATAAGAATCGGTCGCCGAGTATGGGAACGAATATTGTGACACGAGAATTTTATATATTAGATATATATTAAATTTTAAATTGTTCTGATGTAGGACATCCGAAGAGACGGTTATGTGCGGAAAATGTCTTGTCGAGTACATTTTAAACACTTATATAAAATCTTAAAGAGAAAAACCCACAGGAAACAATAAAATATATCTAAAACTAGAATATTATCAGATGGCCATGCATCCGCAACTTTACACTGATAAAATAAAATTCACATGGCCCGACTTTAGGGCAAGCGATCCGAGATACTATGAGCATGATCTTTATTACGATTTAATTCAACAAAACAGACAGAATAGCGCTTTGATATCGCCGACTGGTAGGGTCACCATGCTTATAGGAATACTAGAACAAAACAAACCCGAATTTTAGCGCTGCCGCCTTGTATTTAAAATGAGGACAATTAAAATTTTTCATAAGTATGTGATTGTCCTCATTTTAATATATTTAAAAAATGAAATAAATTTAAAATTAAAATATAATTGTTTAAAAAAAATATAACAATGTGAAAATAAACGTTTTATACTCTACTATTGTAGTTGATCGAATGTATTTGTTAACATGTTTACATGTATAATTTACGTTACATGTAGAATTTTAATATTTCCATATAAATTTTTTAAAAAATAATGTAGGTAGGTACGTCGATTTAAAAAATCACAAATATACAATACTAAATGCTTAGAATCCAAATAGTCTTTGTAAAATGTGGTTCATTATCTTTGAAAAAAAGGTAAAAATATTTTTATATAAAGTACCGGTGACCCCAGAGCTGGTGCTTACCTCGCTAAACGAATAAGTATTGCAATACAGCGAGGAAACGCTGACAGCGTTAAAGGTACACTTGGGACCAAACTTTTTAAATTATCCATTTTCTATTTATTCATTTTTAAATATTATTACTATATATGTTAAGAAAAATGTAAATACTGTATATTTGTTTGAAGTATAAAAGGTAAACATAAAACATAAAAACACACTTCACGGAAGGTCTTCTACAGTTATTCCTTACATCAAAAAATTTACAAGTTAAAAAACTTTTCCATTATTTCGAAAACAAATTAAATAATGGACTCATGGAGCCTCTACCTTTGATAAAGTCGTAGCAGAAATGGATATTGTGTTTTGTTATAAAGTTACTGTCGTTTATGACAATGTTGTTTATAGAAGTTACTCAACTGCAACCTTACTTGAACTCTATAAATATAGCTTCTTAGTAACTTTACCCGAATAGTATTAACGGATTGGGATTTTTGTACTTGATTTCATTGGTCATGTCAGCATGTTGTAGGGATGGCATCGCTTTTCATATTTTCTATGGATGTCAATTTGTTGGTCCAAATAAAAAAATTTTTTGATCTATCAATAGGGTCGAGTTATGTACTACCAGTGTCCCCACTGTGATACCATTCGTACTTTATAAATATTATATGGTCCTTGGCCTTACTCTATAGAGAAGTAGGTGAATAGTCTTTTGTGACTGACACATATCGTCATGATTCCTCAAAATGTTTACCTTTACAGTACGAGCAAGTGTTGCACAGCTGTAATTCAAACTCACGCTGAGACATGAGAGCTTTAGACCGCTAGATTCAATAATCATACTTAAGGTTTAAATACTTGCTCTACAATAACATTCAAATTTTAACCTGATTCTACCGGATTAATACTGGTAAACTTGTTGAAAATCACACAACATTTTTTTTTCTAAGAACAAAGTGTTTTTATAATCAGTGTAATTTCGTAAAGGAAGTTTTATGATGATCTAATGTCATTGAAAGCTAGCAAGGACACGCGTGTCCGCTCGTGACGGTATGTCGTGACGTCGGCGATGGACAGACATACACGACCATCGCAATATGATAGCAATACGCACGTTTTACGTAATTTTTGTTACATTCACTCACGACTTTGTTCATTGACCACATTAAGCAAAAAATTACCTTTGAAGACCTTTATCGTCTCTAAGATTACTGATAAGGAGGAGGACCCTACATTCAAGGATGGGCACGGACCATACAACCCTGTATATTACGATTGTGACCCATAAACCCCAATGGGACTTGGGTCAAAATTTCTGCAACTGTTTCGTTCCTCGACGCATATTTAAAACATGTTACTTCACGATTTTTTTCTCCACAGGACCAAATTGGTTTGCTGAGGTTCGAACAATCGAGCTTGGTTTAAAATCACATGCATTACCAACCAACCAATACGGTAATATTAAATCATTACCACGTACGCGACCTACTACCATACTAGGTCTATACCTAGTAATCTAGTATATTTATTTATTTGAGTGTTATTCAAGCGTATTATAAATAACAAAATCCTGTCAGCTACTGTCTGTATGTCGCCGTCATCCCTCTGATAGCATCAACAGGTATCAAGTTACCCGTTTTCCTTTGTTCTAAAAATAAACACAGATTTCTTTATGAGTTTTATGAATATGTAATTCTTACACATTTAAATTAAAACACCTTATCTAAACAAATATATTAATGTGCGAAGGAAACTACAAGAACTAATTTATTTCCAAAAAAAAAAATTCCCCCAAAAAAGGGGGGAAAACCCCCGCCATAAAAGGAACCCCCCCACAGGGACCAACCTTTTTAAATTTGTTTTGTTTTTCTTCTTCCTTTTTTAATAATTTTTATTATAACTTTATAGGTAAGAACATTGTAAATACTGTATTTGTGTAAATAATAAATAAATTTATTTAAACGACAAGAATCTTCTTGATGTTAATATTGACTGTCATTATCGTTTATTGGTCAGCCTTTACTTCCTAATTTATATTAATATTGTTTAATGTGTTTTATAGTATAAAACGTGGTAGACTTTATCGGCGGATGACAACTGACAACCGACAATTGTCATGTGTCATCTAATAACGTTGACAATGACGTCACACCTAGATGTGTTGCGGGACATAAAATGATTTCTCTCCATCTACACGACACTGGCGAAGTACCTTGTGCCCAGTTGGCACAAATAAAAGCCATAAAAAAAAAATGATTTCCGTATTTTGAAAAATGACTCAAGTTAAGCACTATGTAATGTTTTTGGGGTTTTTTTTTTTTTTTTTTTTTTTCTTCCCCTCCCGATTTAATTTTTTTTTTTTTTTTTCTTTTTTTTTTCCTTTTTTTTTTTTTTTTTTTTTTTTTTTTTTTTTTTTTTTTTTTTTTTTTTTTCTTTTTTTTTTTTTTTTTTTTTTTTTTTTTTTTTTTTTTTTTTTATTTTTTTTATTTTTTTTTTTTTTTTTTTTTTTTTTTTTTCCTTTTTTTTTTTTTTTTTAAAAATTTTTTTTAAAAAAAATAAATTTTTTTTTTTTTTTTTAAAAATAGCCCCCCCCCCCTTTTTTTTTTTTTTTTCTTTTTCCCCCTCCTTCTTTCTCTTGTAAACCGCTTTTCCGGCAACCCGGTTTTTTTTTATCTTTATATTATATCTTGTAAATCGTTTTTTGTTGTGCAATAAGGTGTTAATAAATAATGCTAAGATTAGATTTGAGTTTGGTTTTGAATTACCTAACTATATTTTTACTTGCTACAGGTGCTCAAAACAGACGGACAGGCCTCGGCCTGGCGATGGACCTCTTTGAGCAGCATCAGGGCACACACATACTCCAGGTATTGTTTATATTTATAACGTCAGCGATCGGTTTTTGCATTGATAAACAGGCCGTATCACTTAGAAATAAAGTCGAAATCACAATTCCCGAGATTTTGCTAAAATACCTTATTTATGGGTAGGCTTTTGAAACATTACTAGTAGAAATAGTTGTCAGCCCTTTCCACGAATAATTTCAGTCCAGACAAATCTATGTTCTTAATATTAAATATTAAAAAAAAACGGCTTATTGCCTAGTATCAATTAATTATATATTTATGATACCTAGGGCTCAGTATTCACATATTTCGTACATATTTTATAGCAGAAGTGTGCGATAGTGTTTTTAACAACGAATTGAATCCCGGACCGAGGGTAAATGAGGGCATACATAACAGCCAAACACTGCCCAATGATTGCCACCGTGGTTTGCCGGTTAGTGCTCATGGTAAACGGTTAAGACAACTTGGGGATCTTAGGTTTAATTCCGGTAAAAATGTTATTGTTGGTTGACGGAAAGCTGCTCTATACCCTGCATGTTGCGGAATTTCAAAGTACCTAACAAAACTAAATAAGTATTTATAAAGTATTGCCATTACTAAATTTCATACAAAACATTTAAAATTGAACTTGACTTGCAAAACTACTTCATGCTTTGAAATTACAAAAGACAGAACACAATACAACTTTAATTTATTATTACTAAATATCCACTTAATATTTACTCGATTTCCCAAGTTTCATAACAAAATTAATCGAATATATTCTGGGCCAAGTTAAAGAGTTGACGAGAAAAATACGGCTAAGTTAGAGTTAGTTCTTTGGTTCCGTAGAAATTATTATTCTATTCTTACTATAGATAATACGTAGACCGGACGTAGGTCTCGGTATAAATACCAAGTATAAACTAGTATACTATATGGTACCTGTTCCATAGTTCCTTGTACTCTGTATAAAAGCAGAGTTCCAAATTTAAAAAGTCGGGAAAGCATCTTTTCCGTATTTATTGTCAATTGCCAATGTAAATCAAAAAAGGAACAGGTAATGCATAGCTAACCAAACATTAAATCTTTCCGTCAAATTCTGTTATTCACAACTAGATTGCATCACAATTGACATGGTAAAAAAATCGATTATACCGTCATTCGATCACGTCCATCATTTTGCAATCGATTTTCAATAATATTGGGTGTTGCGGTTTATTTAGATTGAAAATGCAAGTACGTGATTCCTTAGAAAATGGTTTTTTTCAGCTAGCGGTATTATTTGTAGAAAATAGACACGTATGAGTAGCAAGGTCGGTTAAGTTGGTCAATTATAAAAAATAGTAAAGTCGTGACCGAGAACATTATAAGTGAAATCTGTAAAATGGGTTATATTTGAGGTTTTTGTTTTTTTAATATGTTGATACTAACTTCCAACAAGTGAAAGTGATTTCCTTGTTCCGTAAAGCAAAAGATTAAGGTTAATATTATGATGGAACGTTGTAAAACAATACCACTTTGTACCTAACGAATTAGGAGATTGTAAACGTGTGGGTACCCACACATCTAGCAATTGCTATACCTTATTTCGTTTTTTTTATTTTAAATAATGAAAGTCGCTTCGACAGAAAAATCGTAACCAATTTATGTATCGTCACAAAAGTCTGTATTTTTTAAATTAAATGAATAAAAATCTTTGTTTAATTTTAATGACAGAAGCCGTAGCATAATAATAAACACGTATTTTTTTAAATATACAATATTATTTGTATAATAATCAACGCAGTAGATTAAACATATGGCTAAATATCTTTATTTCATTTTAAAAAACGAATGTATATTGTCCGAAAGAATAGGGAATATCAAAATGTAGTAAACAATGGTTCGAGTCAGACTGACGAATTTAAAAAACCGCATACTCATTCTCATATTTATAAAAGCAGTAGCAACAACGCAACAAAATCAGGCTAAAATATATATTGTACTCTTTCCGTCACTATGTAATGAAAAGAGAGATTATTGTTTCAAGCAAAACAGTATAACAGCACTAATTGCTTTTCTTAAATTAAGTTTTAATATTATTTTCACTCCCTAAAAATATAATAAATAATAATTTAGAACTAGCAACATTTAGAGATAAATTTTGTTAAATATATTATTTATAGTTGCCTTATAAATGTTTATCGTTACTACTGTCGTAATAGTTTTTCGTCAGTTCTGTTTGTTTAGCTTTTTTGCCTTCTATATCGATGATGGATATTAAGCTATTAACTTTTTTGTTTGTACTGAATGCAAATATGATTAGTGTGGAAATTATGTCAATAATTTTAGAATAATTTAAGCGAGATTTAATATTATATCGTCTTGGTAATTCGTACAGCCTTGCTGACTTGAGAATATATATATTTTTAAAACAACAGGTTTTAATAGATTGATATTTTAAATTTAGACATCGCGTTAGTCACAGTATCTTAATGAGTGACTTAATTATTAAAAAATTATCACCTGCCATTAAATGTTGATCATGCTTCATTGTGACTAAAAGCTTTATGATAAACAATACTTTAGCATTGAATAATACTATAGTATTTCTTATGATGATACTTTTATACACGAGACTTTTATACATTACAAGTTCTTGATATCATTCTCCTAATTTTTGCTGATATCAATTTAATCGATACTATAACCTTTAAAAAGAACAATAATGTAGATAAAAATGCAATTTTTTCTGACCTTACCGATAACAATAACGGCTTTGTGGCGCTAGAATCGACGCGTAAAGCAGTAGGTCAAATCTTAATTTATTTTTTTCGTTACTTAATCATTTCTTAGCAATGAGATATTACATAATTCATTTTATTACTTAAGCTTATCTTTTAATTAAAATTATTAAAAGGCTGCACATTCTACTTTTAAAATAAAATCCATTTAAAAATTACAAATTAGAATTATTTTATTAATAAGACAAAGTAAGAGTATGAGTATGATTTTAATGTATGAATAAATTTCCTTGGACACAATAACAGGGGAGTTGATCGAGAAAAAAAACATTACTTTCCACTAATAGAATTTTACATAGTAGTTTTGACACTACGCACACAGACTACACCATTTATACACAGGTATACACAATTTAATTTAACAGTTCTAAACTCGTTTATCTAACATATTAATAGCATTAATACCAGGCCATAAAATCTTTAAAAAAAAGTAATAGCATAATAAAAAAGTCTGTTTTTTTCCAATGTACTATTTATTTATTTTCTTTTCAGTCCCTCGACGGCTTTGCATTATCTGTAGCAGCTGATGGAAGGTTCCTGTACATATCTGAAACTGTTTCAATATATTTAGGATTATCACAGGTATGTCACTATTAATTATTATTATTAATTAACCCCTAGTCATAACACGTCTGTATTTTGCATTCATCTTGGCTTATAACCGAAAAATTTCAACATTTTTGTTTCCCCAAGAAGTCGAGATGCAATGAACGCATTAACCTAACCAACTATATGGAGTGCGTGGTCCACTCTTACACACACTACACGTCGAATCGATCGTTTGTTGCTTTGAGTCGAGTATAGAGCAAAAACATGCGTCAACTTCTTCTGTAGGTCTTCTGTGGCTACCAAATCATTGACAGTTCTTCAAAAAATTGAACCCATGGAGGTCACTAAAAAGGAGAGTTTAATAGGGCACGTATGCAGGTGTATTTCTTAAGAACATTTCAGTTCATTCATTTCTTCACACGAGACGAAGATGTAATCGGCTGAATGTCGGCAAAGACATCCGGACCGATATCATCTAGACACGTGTTATATCTCTTACGTGGGCCTTTGTTGGCCCTTTTGTTTTAATAATTTAACCTTATGTGGTTTATATTTTAGGGAATTTTCGTATTAGATGTTGAGTAAAGTTAGAATTCCAAATTTAAAACTGAGTTATATTAGAATTCATAAATGCTTTTTATGATGAAAATTCCAGTCTTGAATCTATATTTAGTTTAGTAATTGTTTTAAGATAGTTTTTATATTTTAGGGGGCTAAACGAATGTGTCGCACCAGGCCCTGTTAAAGGCCTTGCGAGTGCTTAATTCTGTCTCCGAAACGATAGATAGTTTTATATGTTCTGAGAGCGAATTCGCAAAAACGACGTTAAATATCCTTTGTTATCGGAACTAAGTTACACAACTATCGTTTTGGCTATAAGCTGTTAGGGAAGTGGTAGTTATAAGTCAATAAATACATGTTCTATGACTTTTGCTAGATAAGGTAAACATTTGAATCCAAAATATTACAGCGCCTCTAGTGGATGCGCACCAACATTGCAAGACTGACAGTTAACAAACTGTGAGACACGTATTTAAGTTAGATTATGGCAAATAGAATATATTGAATATATAAATGAAATTAAGCAACATTAAAGGAAAACGGAAAAGATCCAAAAACTGAGAAACAGTTGATCCAAAATGGCTGAAGGGTGGTGCGAGGGAGACGGCGAATGGGGGAAAGGAATGAGAGATGCCGGTCACGTCTCGGGCAAGGCGCGAGCGTGCTCCTCATCCTAATTCACGCACACAAGCATCTTAACGTATATACTTCCATATAAGCTATATTAAATTCTGTTACAATTTTTTCGGGATAATAACGACACTACCATAGCTTTTGTTTTGACGGGCTTGACCCACGAAAATTATTTACGTTTATGACATATTTGTTTCTAGGAACCTTAACGTTTTGTTTATTCTTGGAAACTTTTGAGGGAAGTTATAGTCACATGAAACAGTGAAAAAGTGAAAAATGCAGACACCATTCCGTTTCACTTGTAACTTTTTTTAATATGCAAGAAGAAAAACAAAAAAGTAATTGAACATTGAACATTGCTTAACATTGAGCCAAACAAGTTTTGGTCTGGAATCGAACCCAGGAAGAACCCTGGAGTATCGAACTCAAATATTAAATAAACCTTTGGGTCTCCTATAGTTCGCTTATAAACTCAAGAGTTTCGGAGGCAGTAATTTTGATAAAGAACGTAGGGAGGCTGAGTTTTGCTCCTTTTTAAAATTAATCATTAATTAAATAATAATTATACTATAATATGTCACTCTAACAATGCCTTAAAACACTACTAAATGTTAAAAATCTATTTTTGCATTATGCGATATGCTTTCATTCATGTATGGGTTTTGTAAGTGGATTATTAAATTATAGAAAAGAAAGATAAAAAAAAAAACCAAAAAAAAAAAACAATTGTATTGAAAAGTCTGACTCAGCCTTTTACTACGTAGTAGAAGCACAGATAAACAGCAACACTTCGTACCTATTACTTTGATTGTAATGCTATTCTTCAATTACAGAAGTTAATCGTACAGTCTAAGTTACCTTGTCAAGTTCATGCTCTTGCACCTAAAACAACATCTCGTACTTGTACTCCCTTACACCTTGTCCTAGTCGCCCTTGCTCTTTCAGTATTCAGTGAGACTGATCATCAATCCGGTACATGTCAACGAATCTGTTGATCATTCCTAAAGACCATAAACATCTTTCTAAGAAACGACCACCGTAACACACATTGTCTTTGGCATTCACATGCGAGCCGTCACTGCGGATACGCGTCTCTTGAATGCCTAATAAGGTCCCACAATTATATTTGATAAATTTATTTATAGTACATTTGCATATGCCGTGAAAGGGTCAGCGGGAAAGTCGGGTGGCAACTGATTTTTAATATTAAAGTTCTTTGGAAAAATTAAATGTTTTATGACATCATCTGTAATAAATAATGGTGTTAATCTAGCGTAACAGCAGTGTTGGCCTAGTGCTTGCTTAGCTTGCGACTCTCATCCCTGAGGTCGTAGGTTTGATCTACGTATGTGGACTACTGGCCGTTCTTTCTATGTGCGCATTTAAAATTCGCACGAACGGTGAAGGAAAACATCGTGAGGAAACCGGCTTGCCTTAGACTTGCTTAAAGCCAACTTGCTTATTAGATTGACAAATGATTATGATACAGAAATCGTGACCCAGAACTAAAAAGATTGTAGCACCACTGATTTATTTTTAACCTAGCGTAAGCAATTATAGGAAACTTTAATGATCTTTATTTTAACTTTAAATCACCAAAAATGGTAGTTAATTCAATTAATTATACAGCTGACTAAATATATTTAGTAGTAATACCTAAACACTTATCTAAATCACTGAGTAGAAGGAGAATAATGTATTACGTAAATTTTTCTCTCCAGGTAGAGATGACGGGCAGTAGCATATTCGATTACATTCATCAAGCTGACCATGCAGAAATGGCTGAACAACTAGGGCTGTCACTCGCAGGCCGAGGCGGTGCAGGGCTAAACAGCCCAGCATCAGGCAGTGAAGAGGGCAGTCAACATGGAACTAATAACCCTGACGGTAAGATTCATAATATCTCCCAATAAGAGGAATCAACTTTAAAAGAATATCGATTTCCAAACTGTTTTTTTTTATTTTTCCTCGTGATTTGAACATCGTGACACCAACGTGTAACATCTCGACAAGGCGTTCATGCTTTTCGAATTCATTGTAACCTATTGGTATTATAATAGCTTTGATGAAAATATGAATGTTTATTTAAAGTTTAAAACACCACTGTATGTAATAAAGTAATTTACTAGACTGACGTATTTACGGGATTGTCACTTATAGCACAATATTTCAAATACCGAGCTCTTTAGTTGAACTTAATTGATATCCCTATTGTTAACTCTGTATAAATGAGATGGATTTTTTTACCGACGGAACTAATTTAACTAAAGCATTATGGTCGTTTACATTTTTTAAATAAAGACCTAGATTTATTGTTCAGAATAAACGAGAAATTATAAAAAGACAAGAAAGTCGCAATTTATTATACATACCGTTAGGCTATTCAGTTGAGTTTTCCACTTAGCATAAAGTAAAAAACTAGCTTCAACGACCCGTGGTATTGTCAGCGTACAATGACTATAATAAAGGTAACACCGATTCGAAAAAAAAAAAAATATATATACATACATAGTTGATTATCAACTGCTTTATACTTCGTACTTCGCTTTATTAAACAGAAAACTAAAAAAAGACTTTATTTCTGGACTCTTTAATTTTATTCTTCTTTTAAATTATTAAAAACTTAAAAGCTACTTTAACTGTGTTATATTTCTTTAAATATAGTAATTCCCAAACGGGGACATGCTGACCATATGATAAACCGCCATAGCCCGCGTCAATATCTAAGTCGAATCGTTGAATGGTCCACTTAATAAGTCGTCTGAAATCGAAATTAGATTATGGATTCTCCACGCTGCGTTCCTTATGAAACGGTCAATGGGGAGTCTTATAATTTTAGATTAATATTTTATTTTATGGGAATTGAGTTTTGGGCGCCACAGTTAACACTGTGTCTCCTCTAGGAATCGCTTTTGAACGCTCAATAGGTGCTAACTTCAATTAAAATTTGTAATGAGCAAAAAGTAGTGTATAATTTCTCTGACAAATAGCCGTTTTCGGTCCAGCGCACTCGCTTTTTATGATGTTAAAATTAAACTTGTGTTAAAAACAGCTCAGGTTTTGCTAGTGTTTGACGTTATCGATTTTGAACATGAACTTGACAAACTATATTTTTTACTGCCAAGAAATTTCAGCCAACTACTAATAAAAATATATGGGCTTTGTAATCTATGCCGTTAAACTTTTGTCTCTATGACATTACATACGATCTAAATTTATTGAATGAGTCCTGTCCCTCTATGTCACTTGTTACAAACACCCAGAATACGTAAACACAATAAATAAACGGATCATTTTTTATTTGTTGGTCTTTAGACTTATGTTACACATTAGACCATCCTCATCTATTACTGATAATAGAAGAGGTATCTCCGTACGTTCTTCATAACTCAGATCCACGTCATATGTCCGCATAAACGTAAATGGTGTTGACTAAACCTTATTTGTCCATAATCAGCAGTTATCAGAATCCTTCCTTCACATTTTAACTTGATCAAGGGCAATTTACACAAATTGATTCCGAAGCTAACGGCCTTACATTGTTATGTACACAATCGATTTCAATTTACTTACTCGTTTAAAAAATGAGGGTAGGTAGAAAAAATCTATCAGGATCCAGTGTGACAGCAGATCATTGTATGTGGAATGGCGTAGTAAAATCGGATTGAACAGTGAAAAGCGTGTTAAATGGTGGATTGTCTTTTGATAGCCGTTGAAATGATGATGATTACGCTAGCGATTCTTAAACTGTTACAAGTGCTACTAATATGTACCTTAAAATATTATATTATAGGTAAAATTATAATTAACGCTACTTAAATACAATAAAATAAATGAATTTGACGCCTGAGTGCTTCGCGCGTTTGGCATTTCAAAACACAACAACAACGCTTCGTCAATGCAAATAAATTGGATGTTTAATGTTTTTTGCTATTTTCAGACTATAATTTTTGCATTTTAAAATGTTATAAATTAATATTTATCTGTGGTTTTTTATGTACATATAAATTTCCCAATATTCTCGACTCTTGTGGTGGACCTTATAAGACCTTATACACATATTTTGTTCAAATATATACATACATATATACATTAAGTAGTTTCCAAATATATATATATATATATATCCATATATACAAATATATTATATATTACTACATATTTCATTTTATATTCATGGGCTAGTAGGGGCCCGTCTTTATTTGTGGGTTAGTAGGATAGAATAATAATAGGAAATAGATGTGTCGTCATATTCGTATTTGTCATTTTCCAAGTAATAGAACTGTTAAATTCATGTCAAAGCGTAATTTTAGTGAAAACAGCATGATAATCCGTAAATTTACATGTCTGATTCATCTGTCTTTGAAAATTCGTAAAACCACAATATTCTTATACGGGAAAAACTCATGACAGTTTTTATCGTACTTAGTCAACTACGTACGCATGTCTGACTCACATGACAAAGTACATGTTGTGCCCAACGTAAATAAATAATACGTTTTTTTTTTATTTATCGATAACTAAACTCATAACATCTAATTATAATTAAATAAATTTGTACGACTACAAGTCAAACTGCATAGCTAATTAAATTGTAGAAGTTGGGTGCTGACAAGGGACAGAGATATTATGTTAGGATACTTTCATAATATGAATATTAAATATGAATGAATGAATATTCATGTTTGTAAAAATTTTCGTAAGAATTTTTTATCTTTAACTATCAATAGTTTCTCTATACATTAAATATTTAACCAATTTAGCTTTGAGAATCACTGCCTCATTTCCTATCCACAACTACGTTGATAAAATCAATTAAGGCGTGGTGTCCTCTCACCGGTCCCAAAGATTTATTCACATAATTAAATAGCCGGCCAACTAATCAATCAAGCCATCAGAATTCTATTTAAATGAATTTACCTTTGAGGATGTTGAAATAGGATTTTAATTCCGTAACTTCGATTTCAAAGAAACTGTTTAATGGTAAACTGTAGAATTTATCGAACTTGCAATCACTATGTATGTTTACAAGATAAAATGTTTAGTATATTGCGTTTTTGTCTTTTTAAAATGTTTTTATTCATCATGATTTGTCGCCTAATGGAAATTTAACTTTGTTTGAAGAATTCTGAAGTGTTTATTGCTTTATCTTGAAGTATAGACGCCAAATAATTTTTACCAATGTTTACTTTTATTGCAGTGTCAGCACAAATGACGTTAGCAGCAAGTGGATCATTGTACAGAGGAATGGATAGAGCTTTCTGCATCAGAATGAAGAGTACGCTCACAAAACGGGGTTGTCATTTCAAGTCGTCAGGATATAGGGTAAGCGAGAACAATAACTACATCAAACGTATAATTTCAATTGCATTATTATAATCAACTTTCTTTTAAAAATACAGCTGAACATTACTAATAAGGAGTCGTAAATCGTAAAACCAGTCGAGAAATAATAAATTAAACTTACTGAGTACTTAAAGATAAATAAATACGTAGGTAGATTTGCGAAAGAAATTCAAAATAAATGTTAAAAGTATAGTTTATAACCTGAACGTAGTAAAAGCCGTAGCAATAATCGTGCTGCTGATTAAGTTGTTAGTAGATGGGACTGAAAATTTGTGGACATTTTCTTATCTAGTACTTAGAGATAAAAATGTACGCCGTTTTCATTTTCAATCTAGGTTGGGAGAGGCAAGGAGGGTGACTCTGCGAGATATGGAGAGGGTGGTAACTGGCGGGTGGGTATCAAGAAATTAAAAAAGCATTATGCTAATGTCAGTGGTGTTAAAATATTATAAATCGAAATTTATTGCTTAATTTCTTTTTTTAATTATTGTGACACTTGGACAAGATTCGAGACAATACTCGATTTTAACCAGATTTTAGACATTTTCACTACTTAAACATAATCGACAAATATCTGTTTCTTATTCAAATTTTTTAACGTAACTGAATATGTAACTGAAATGTGATCGCAGAATACATTTCAGTTACACAATAATAATGTTGTGAGTTGTAGAATTAAAGCTGCTTATTTGTGTTAGGTCACAAATGAATCGAAAGATTCATAAAATTAATGTTTATCTAATTTTGGAATAAATAATTAAGTTAGTCTTTAAGAATTAATGCGATCGTAAGAATTGGTTGACATTGGCCAACCCTTGCTGTAAAGTGTTAAAAATATTTTACAATCCTAAATTCGAAACAAAAAAGCAATTTTTTTTTGCTATATAGCAAAAAAAATTATACAGATACATTTTTATTGGACCTTGGTAATTATATAATAATTCTCAGAAAGATAGGGTTAACCTCTGAACAATTTAGCAGTCTCTTTATCCGTCTTAGATCACAAATATTATTGCTGGAGTTATTGCGCCGCGTGGGGTGCCTCAAGGCACCAGCTATGGCCCATAATTTTTGCCTTAACTCGGTGTTAGGAAATAAAATGTGATTATATCTCACTTGGAGTATTATATAGTAGGTGTGTAAAATTGTTCTTAATAGATTGTTCCGCAAGGAAGGACACTTTTTATTTATTAAGTTCCTTAAGTGAGAATAAAGTTCCTTGGGAATATGACGTTGTTATTTGATATCATTTTTGTATCATAATACTGTTTCTGAGAGTTTACTTAATGTTATTCTGATGAACCTAAAAGCAAAAGTAAATGTCACATTAATAAGTCGGATATAATTGCTACATGTATGTAACTTCTATAACTAAAGTTATTATTATTAGAGGCAATTATAAAGAGAACGATAAAAAACGCTACGGTTATTTCCCACTTCCTATCTAGTTAACTAAGTTTAGTGAATTTTAGGATGAAAACGTATTTCAAATACTCGTTTAATTTAAATTTTAGCTCAATACTCACAAGTCACGAAGCATTAACAAATCTTACAAATTAGAAATTAAACCCATAATTTTAATGATCTACATCTAAATTGGTCACATACTTCGCAAATATCGACAAAGCGATTAGAGAAAACCGTTTATTATTGCCAACGGCTATACATTTATGGGTGAAATTTGGTTTAGTTCATCCTTTATTGCTATTTGTAACTTGTTAAACCCGGAAGCAATTTAATGTACTTAACTTTGTGAGGTAAAATTGTGTTCAAATTTTGTAAATTAATTGTTACATTTGTTTCTCGTACGCGTAATATTAAAGGTAACTTTTTTCCTTTAAAGGTCTACTCTATACTAGAATTTCCCGAATTGAGTTTAGCTGTATAGGGAGTATGATACATATAAAATAACTTTTTATTTTATTACAATTAGAATTCGTGTACACAAACACATCAAAGTTTAGGTTTATCACCACCTTGTCTGTTAATTAAAAACTGTGAAACTGACACATGAGAATTGACCAGAGACAAGAAAGAATCATCATGATCTCCCTTGTCTCTGGTCAATTCTATTTTCAATAAATATCTAACATAACACCAGTGTATATATAGGTAAATTCGCGAGCAACGTAGTTACTTGTGACTTAGCGACTTTATTTCTCATTTTCGACACGTAACGTATTAGGTACTCCGAAGCCAACTCTTGATAGAATTTCGCTTCGCAACTAGAACAAAATAATGTCAGGAATAAATTTTCTTTGATACAATGACGCTAAGGTTGTTAAGAAACTTTGTACTTTGTAGTCTTAGCTATCAAAGAGAGAAATGGTTTCAGTTTTCATTTCACTAATAAACAATGCTATGGATAAAGGTTAATACAATAATGTAATTGAAGAAAAAAAATGTTATATAATCTCGATGGGAACAAAAAGGCCCACCGAAAAATTGCAGTGCTTTGAAAATAACGCCTTAGATAGTAGGTATGATAAGCAAATGACAATTATTTTTAATAATTAAATCTTGCCTTAGTTTTAAAATTGTTATTTCACTTACCTTCGAAACTTATTTTAATTTTGAACCGAAATAATTAACAAAGTATAAAGTTGTAATAACCTTTTATCTTGACTCTCAACTTAACCTAACCTCTTGACTTTTAAAGTACCTCAATGTTTCAATTATCAATATCGTTCACAGTTAATTTGCAATCACAGTCTTTAACTCTTCTTAATTCAGCTGTAGTAGTATTTAAGATATTCATGATAATGAAAAATTCCAAAAAATCTATGAATAAAATATAAAAAAATAATAAAAAACATATGAGCCAATGTTGCCTATTTTATTCTTATAATTTTAGGGAAAATTAAACGTTATAATTTTAACCTGCTTAAAAAAATTATGATTTTCACTCAATCTAATATGCTTATTAATTAGAAAATAAATGTTATCGTTCAATAAAGCGGCTGTTTACGATTAGCGCGAATGAAGCGACTTTGGAGTACCTACTTATTTTTTATTAGGTATTTTAATTTGAGACAATTTTATCAGCAACTCTTTATATTTTTAAATTTATTAAATTATTAAAGATTATTGTCTATTTCAGGTGGTGCTAATGCTCTGTAGACTACGGCCGCAATATACGTTCTCCCACAGTCGGAAGACACCACCCTCTCTTCTAGGAATGGTGGCGTTAGCTATCGCTCTGCCACCACCCTCCGTTCATGAGATACGACTGGAGTCCGACATGTTTGTTACAAGAATCAATTTCGACTTCCGAATAGCGCATTGCGAACCCAGGTATTACGGAAATATTGACGGAGGTTTTTTATTTATGCATTACGCATTAGTGTTTCTTAAGGTTTTTAAAAAAATATCTCCAACTACGGCTGTTGTCGTAAATTGTTTTAAAGCCGTAATTTTAGTTTGTCGTTATTTCTTTGTTGAATAAATACTTCATAGTGTAATTTTGTTTCTAGCAGGGTTCAGGAGTTACTGGGCTATACGGCAGAGGAGCTTACGGGGAAGAACCTGTATGCTCTATGTCATGGTGAAGACGCCAATAAACTTAGGAAATGCCATGTAGATTGTAAGTATATTTACATTCTAGATAATTTTAAATAGTTTTTAGCTCATTACGTATATAGGGCGTAATAGGGGAATGACTTTATAAGATGAATTCTGAAATGCTTTTTTAACGTGTTATTAAATAGTGAGTCTGTAGTAAAATAATAATAATAATAATTAAGTTTACTAGACATTTAATTTAAAAAATGTGATAATTCTAGGATTGTTTCACTACAATAAAAATATTTAAAAAATGTTTTTGAATGTAAATGTATTTGTAGTACCAGTATATATGATAGTGGTAATTTATAACATGTTGACGCTAAATGTTAAGTGAAATATTGTTAAACGTTTGACGATTCTACGATATTGTCAATCGGACTATGAAAATCCTCCCGGTTTATTAGACCATACCTAGGTTGGTCATGATAATAAAATGCAAACCAAATAAAACACACCTGGCAAAGAACAAATTGGTATTTAACGTTTATTGCCTATTTTCAATTCTAGCACTGTTCACAGACGGAAGTTTAAAACATAATCATCGTATTTTATTAGTAGTGCCTTCACCAAATTGAGCATCAAAAATTTTATTCGCGTCCACGTTGAATCCAAATTACCCACTTTCTCGCAAACACAAGTTTTATGTTAATAAAACAATTGTAATTCTTCTTGTTGTCCACGTTTGACCGGCATCACACATATTTAAATTCAAATTAAGCTTCTCGTAAAACTATCGGTTATTCAGACGTCACATTGATTCGTTGTCGGCCATTTTGTTGTCGAAAATTGTTGCGTGTGGTAAATACATACTTGTTCTTTATTATTTCCCTTAGTGCATCAGGTATATAAGTAATACCTTGTGCACTAAGGCTACGTTAGTAGACATTCGCATCTTAATCTGATTAAACTTTTAGCTTACTGTTAACCTGGTTATTAATTGGTATTATTATTTCGCCAACTGAACAAACAAATTATAAAAAAATCCGTACCTTTTATATTAAGTCAAGTAATTTGATTTACAGCGTTTACTAAAACGGAATAAATTTAGTTACGTTTAATACATTTTTACATGTAAATTTATGAAATTTGAGTACCTAGTCAATGTATCTACATATAAAATTCCTGCAGAAAAACTTAATAAATTAAAAGATACGTATAAAGACAACAATAAAACTGAAGCTATAAAAAGAGAATTAAGACGGCATTTCCCACGAATGAACCGGGGAAAGGAAACGAAAGGCTAGTGAAGAAATTATTATTCAAATCAGAGACGAGCCATACGGCGCTATATCTAAATGGTGTTCTTTATACATACTATAATAATACTGTATAATAGAGTGACATCTAAAGGAATAGTTCCGCACCAAACCTTAGTGTTTTCTCAGTGGATAAATTAATTCACCTAGATCGATTAAAAAACAACAAAATTACACATTGAAACGAAAACGTTGTTTAGCAAACTCAGTAGTGCTGTTTATGATAAAGACAATCCTATTCATAACCCATATGCATCAATGAGGAGGTGTCACGGTTTTATTCTTTTAAAGGGACATGTGAATGATAAGACAAACCTTTTAAGAACTGATACGAATGTAGGGTATGGAAAAGTAGGGAAGAATTTAAATTTCGAATACAGTATTCCAATCGCAGAATCAAATCAAGGTCGAAAAATTGTTACTGTTAGTATCGAGGACCGTAAATTTTCCTGCTACCTTGATGCAGACGTCTTGACATGGATTTCTATATTCACCACCTGAATACTAAACGACGTTACGACACGTTGATAGATTTCACCACATATCGGGCCATGGGTGGACAAATCATCGGTTCATTTATAAATTAGTAGAACGCGGCTATATTTTATTAAAACTTGAAATGCTAAATTTAAGTGAAATACATTGAAATAAATTAAATATTCATAATTTGGTCATAGGTACATCTATGAAGGTTGCCTTCAAAACTTTATACTATTCAATATCTGAAAAATAATTCAACAAAACTTCGCTACGTTAAATTATTTGTGATATTAGTAGCATACATTTTAGTTAGCATATTAATAAATTAAAATCAATATTTTGCATGAATTAAATAATTGATAAAGGAAAAGAATACTAAAACGAAGGATACGAAACGAAAGGACAATATGTAAAGTCTTATGTATTTGGATAATCCCACGCAACAACGTAAATCCTAACTTGAAACAATAGAACAGTAAGCAAATGACGCTTAATATATTGGCGTGACTCCAACACCAAGCAATGAATTGACAATAAACAATAAACCAACAAAACCAAAAAGCAAATTGCTAATGATTCACGTAGCACAATACACATGTCAAACACTTTGTCCTTTGAATGTGGAATAATGCAGCCATAGATTGTTATGAATCCATCGTCCGACGTATTAGTAACTAATTCAAGGTTGATGTCCAGATTATGAGTGATAACTTTATTATGGACTGTGAAGTACTTTGACTTAATATGGGCTCCAACACGTCATATTGAACTTTCTTATATATTTTCTTTATTATCATCAGTCACTTGTCCTGGGTTGATAAAAGATCATCCGACTTAAAGACAGAAAAGAAACATTCAGAAAAGAAATTTTAAATGTTCATTGTTATTTTCAGTAATGAACAAAGGTCAAGTGCTTACCCACTACTATAGAATAATGAATAAACTGGGCGGTTACACCTGGATGCAGACTTGTGCGACGGTTGTTTGCTCCTCTAAAAATGCAGAAGAGCAGAATATTATTTGCGTCAATTATGTTATCAGGTATGTAATCAGGAAATAAATACATTACTTTTTGTAGATAATAAGTCTATGAGTTTCATAGGAGTAATTTCTGCCACTGGTGAATAAAATTACCGTATATTAATAGGATTTAGTATACTTATGTGCTATTTTCGAATAGGTTAGAAATCACTTTCAAAAAAGGTGGTGCTCCATGTCTATATACATTAACCATGCAAAACATAAACGAAACAAAAACAAAACTGCAGCTGACCGGAAATTTTACCCCCATGTGTGTATTTTGTAACGTTTAAAACAAAATAGTTTAGTAATTTAAACTCATATTGACAGTAGCGATACTGCATTAGCATACAATAGAAAGGAAAAAGTCTAGATTTATCCAATCGATAAAGATCAGTCAACAATCATGTTATAAATTATTTATAAAACTATTTTGTTTCAGTGGACGAGAATACCCGAATACAGTAATGGACTGCTGCCAGTTAGAAGAAAGCGTACAAGGTGTTAAAAGGGAAGAGTCTACTGGGGATCCTGAAAATGGTCCCCCAGATGCAGATGCGCCCGGTGCCCCACCTCCCTCAGCAAGACACGCAACGGAAAGAACAGAACCCCCGTCTAATAACGATTCTGCCGCAAATGCACCACCTACGTCAGATGTAACTCATCTTACCAGACTGAGCGACTCACAACCTGTACCTCTTCACACTACTCCAGAAAGAACTTCCCCTATGCCAGCACGAAGACTGAAAAAACGTAAACACACAACAGAGGAAGATGAAGATAGAGAGGAGGAAAGACGAAAAAGCTCGTCAAATCCGGGTACTGCAATATCCCCAGTAGAACGTGACATGTCAAAAACAATATCTATGCCAGAAAGTACGGACGCGACTTCAGTCAGAGATTTGGAGAATGCCATGTCAAAACATTTGCCTTCTGTGGGTTTAGACAAAGAAATTTCTCACAGGCCGACGGATTTCTCAACGGATGCTTTACTGAAGCAACAACAGCAGAAATCTACCATACAGTGGATAGGCACGCAAAATCACGCCTTAAATCATTTGAATAGACAAATTCCCGGAAACCATTCATCAACACCCGCATCGGCGCTGCTGAGGCAGTTGTATGCTAATCGGGAAAGTGTTATTAGAAGTAATTTCCTGGGAGATGCGAGGTCAGGAGGATATTACTCGGGAGACGGCCAGACTGGACCTTTACCCACGCCTCCTGGCAGTGAAGGTTCTGGCTATAGCGAACAATTAGGCCACAAAGGCACAGATATCGGGTCACTAGCGTATGGCTACGCGGACTACCATTCAGCAATGACCCCGCCTGGCTCGGTTTCTCCGAGAGATAAACAACAATACGCTCTGCCATATGATAATAACGCTTATTCAGAGGCATTAAGGCACTCCTATTTAGGAGACACGCCATTGCCTTTAAAACCCCAGGCGTATTCCGCGGTCCCAGGTGCGTTGGACTATGCGTCATCGCTAGACCAGTCACAATTTTTCCATCCAGCGCCATCGTTCCATCTCTATCACCCGCAGGCGCATTCGCATCCGTCTCACTCACACCAACCCGTAGATAAGTCCGCTCCACCAAATACTAATTGGTATTCAACGAGTTCATAGCCATATTGATGAGGAACTTTCACAGTGTCGTCCAAATAGATTTTGTTTCCTTCTTATATTGTTATTGTTTTGTGAAAGTGATTAGGGATCTGTGGTTGTGTAACTGAAGCATTCCATTAGCTGTTAACGAAAAGACTTTTCTAATACTCATGATTTTATCAGTTTCGAAGTATTCAGATGTATATCGTATTAAAATTTACATGAAACTGTTTATGTACCAAGTAGTAATTTGTAGGCATATCTGGCTACTGAGTATTCTAGCTATTTATAGCTTTCTTGCATATCATATAAAGGCTTGTATTCCAAAACGTATCTCTAATCACTTCGCACTGGATTCAAACTTTTTTTGATCTTAAAACGATTAACTGATTCACGTTATGGAATATAAGCCAAGAAGTAACGTAAGCTTTGTGTAAATGATTGTACAATAGTTAGCACCTGACTGTACTTAGATTAATATTTTAACTTGTAAATTATACTAGTTAGCGTTGTATATTATTTTATTGGAAATAAGATTTCTTGTAAATACGTTGTTTAAAAATAGTGTTTTTAGTTTTTTGACAATGCTCAAAGACTTGTTTCATGTTCTGTTTAGGTAATTATTATTAAATAAAATTATGTAGGATTCCGAAATTTGCACAGTACAACCCCCTTTCCAATTACATACAAGAAACTGCGTTTTCTCTTATAAAAAGGACTCATATTTATGTCAACAATTAGTAATTGCTAAGAAGGACTTTCACATTAATCCCGATCAAGCACCTAAGGCTAAATATATTTTATAAGAGCTGATTAGCTAAAAAGTACATCACGGTATCTTACTTATAAAAGGTACATGAAATTGTTATCGTTATTGGTCGCACGGAAGAAACTAATTTAATAAAATAATAACGAATATATCAATGTTTACTTGGAATATTAAATTCGTGAAAAGTGACAAAATGTTTTTTTATCAAATGTGTATATTAAAGGGGGTTTTTGTTATTTTTAATATGTCCATGACAGTCTGTTGTAAAATACTCATTCCGTAACGTTTTGTTTTTCGTTTAAAAATCAGTAGGATGCTCGTGCAATATGAAAAATGTTATTTTTGAAGGCTTCGTAATATATAGTAAATTAAGGTATTACTATAAAGTACTTAATTGGTATTATGTATTAAAATTATCTGTTAATTATGTTCTGTATTGTTTTATAATTTACATGAAAAAGTGAATTTTATTTGTCCAAATAAAATACTTAAGAATTTCGAAGTAATAGTTTTCATATGTATTATATATACCTAGATCCTTTTAGCTTTGTTCAATATAATCCTATGGAATACAAAGACTACAAATGCCAGAATGAATGAAATGAAAATACACAGTGCATATACATAGTATTTTTTCTACTTTTAAAAATATAAGGTTATCTTAAAAAATAGAAATGCATGGTTCTTGATACGGTTATTTGCAGTTTCACTTGCTACGATTATATTTCTTTCTAAATTATATGAAGAGTTTAAAATAACAATTTTTTTTTTAAGAACACAAGAAATCTGTTCTAATAGTTAGAAAAAAGACTTGAGAGGTGTCAAGGGACACCCGGATGGAACGAAGTTCCTTTCGATTAATTTATATAATATGTTAATTGGTATCATAACAGTATGATAGATTTTCTGGACACCAATCTTATATTTCATCGTATATTAAAGTTTTAAGAGACCAGGAATCTAAAGAGGAAGAAGTATGATGTCGTTGTGCTACGCAGGGATTAAAATATAAAATAACCTAAATATAAATTAAATGGCACAATTAATAAGCATATTTCGTATTTCGTGGTTCAGATGTTTTAATTCAGTCTCATCCCCTTGTATAAGTTGTTCTCGTTGTGATATTAGTTCACTAATTTTTGAATTCTCAGAATTACATGACATTTTCCTGAAACATAATTTTTTTATTTATTATAATGAATATTTTTTAAAGATATTGTATTTTGCAAGGAAACTAGGGATTCTAGTGTACGTTTACTACGACTAATTTAGTTAAGTGATTCCAAAAATAATTTTCATTTCATATCGCTACGAAATAAAAAACCAACATCACGAGGTGTTCCCAGGCGGTCACCCATCCAAGTACTGACCTCGCCCGGCGTTGCTTAACTTCGGTGATCGGACGAGAACCGGTGTATTCAACGTGATATGGACGTTGGCGATAGCTATATCGAAAATATAAAATTGAACAACTATAGCAAAAAGTGTCGTTACAACTTTTGGTCTTAATTTTTTCCGTCTAGTCCCCTTTCACAACGCGCGATCAGGAACTTCGTTCCAATATATATTTTTTTAATTCACAAAACAATATAATATTATGTATGTATTTTCAAACATATAAATGAACCTTGAAATGTGTATGGTGCTATCTATTACATTTCTTCAAAACTACTATAGTTTCCGTAATTGTATTAAACGCCATCTATTGTTTCATTACAATAGTATAACTTAAGTGATTGCTTACAGCGCTATCTACTAGATTTAGATTGTACTATAATAGTAATACATTTAAATTTTTAAGCTGCCATCTATTTATTTTATGTGGAACTACAATCATGTTTAATTTTAATGATTCTTTACAAAATTTTCAGTATATTGATAGATGTCGACATGCTAACGGGTAAAATTATTGTCGAGACTGGATGCATGGAAACCAATATTTACTGTAATGAAAATATCCTGTTGCAGTAGAGTTAGTTAGACATTTCTTGGCTTAAAAATTAGACGCCTACTTGAAAAATGTATTGTAAAAATAACACTAAAACCAGTTTATGGTGGACAAAACTAGCAAAGGGCATATATTGCGTAAGTCTGACAAATTAAAACAAACACACTTCTACCGGATTCAATGGCGTTTATTAATCACAATAATTAACTTAATCAAATTAAACCCGACGATTCGCGCGCTATGTAAACTTAAAACTAAAAATAGACATTTAGGTTTAAGTTTGTGCCCTTTTAAATGTGTAAATGATAAATGTAACTAAACAAAATGCAATATGAAAAATAAAAAATAAAAAGTTCAATAAAAATAGAAATATATTTATTAACTATCCTATTACTCCTGTTATATTCCTCTTACAATAATCTAAAGCTTAGTTGAAATAAACAGTCTATATGGACGGACCTGTTGTACTTACCTAAAAAAATTGTGAGATTCATAATTATTTTAGATAAAATGTCAAAAACTTCAGACAACTTATTCACTATAAATTATTATGTAAAACAATAATAATATCTACAACTATAGGTATTCTAAATGAATCAATAAGGTGTAAATATAACATAAGTATTCCAACGATAATTTACTAGTTGGCTAGAATGTCCTTAACTCCAAGGTTTCCTTAATCTATGTTCTGGATTTACAGAAAGTAGTTTGCACAGAAAATGTCAGGGCCATTATTCAATTGTTATCTAGTCTGTTTTAAGAGTTCTAGCAGAGTGTAAAAAATGTAAATGCAAAATTAAAACAGAAGTCCTAGCAGTTAATGAAATGTAATTTAGTATTCCACTAAAATTTCAATATTTGGTGACTGCATCTCTAATATAACCTGATATTGTGAAAACACGCACAACCAGCAGTAGATCTGAAAAATAACGTTCAATTATTATTGTTTTATTGGAGTTAAAATTAGTATTGAAAATAAAATAAGTTAATTCTAATAAATTGAGACCTTTATCTCCGCAGTCAACACAATACTGTGCAGGCTGTTGAACACACATGAAATGTTTGGACATCTTTATAATTTTATAAACAATTTAAAGTTGTAAAATAAAGTTTCTTAGTAAAGGTTTAATCTTGAATTTAAATTTTTTATTGACCGCAGTATCATCTGAATATCTTAGGTCAATATTCTGTATAATTATATAATATGTATTCTGCTATGTATGATTCATTGCTATTTTGCAAACACTCGAGGACTCAATCCTAAACCGCTGGTAATGTAACAAGCTAAATCTACTTTATCCTAATGCTAGTTAAATATAATAATCACTTACATTATATCCTAACCAGAGAAAGTTAAGCAAAGCTGCAAATGTTGCCTCCAGCTGAAAAATATGATTTTATGAAAACTTGCATTTTCATCTCCATATTTAAATAACTTTAAGTCTGAATATGTTAGGTCATTTTCATGTAGTTTTGTTACAAAATTTTGCAATACCAAAAAAAAAAAATATCAAAAATTTAAAAGCATTGCTTCAGAAGGCATTGAATAAAACATAACCAACAAAACCATAAGTTACTCATATGTTCTAATATATAAGAGGACCAGAAAACTCACAAAACTGACCTATTTTTGACAGATTAAAAATGATTCAATAATTAAATAGCTACAACACCATAGAAAGATGGTAAATACTTTTAAATTTTGGTTAAGTGAAACTTAAAAATCAATAAGATTTATATATATCTTACATAAATATAATATCCACCAATGAGCCATAAGCTGAAGACACATTGGAAAGTGATAATCAGGCCCATTGTCAGCATCCAGGGAAGCATTAACCCTCTCATCCAGATATTCATGCCAATCACCTAAAATCAAATGGTTTTCTGATTTTAAAATATACATAATTTTAAACCTTAAACTTTTAAAATGATAATTACGTAGAGTAATCTTGTGTAGATTAAATATGTACAAGTACGTTTGATTTAAATACATAGTCGTACTGGTAATAAGGTATCTGCACTTCAATAAATATATGTACTAAATAGTCAAGTTAAGGCTTTTTTCAAAAATACCTTTAGAACCTCGGAGCAGTGTTTTGGCTTAGCATGAAACTGTCTCAATCATGGTCTCAGGTTATGTAATCAAATTAAGCTAATGGAATTTTCGTGCTATGTGCGCATTTAATACTCGCTTGTACAGTAAAGAAAAAAATAGTAAGCTGACCAGCAATTCTGTCTTAGAGCCAAAGCTTAAAGGCATGTGCCAGTAACTGAATGCTGATCACCACAAGAGAAATCGGAGGACAAGACTAAGGGTTGTAGTGCTAATGATATAACTAAAAAATTAATTATCATGTTTTAATGAAAATACTAGTGAAATCTTTGCAACAACATCTTTGATCCTGCAATACTGCAGTATAAAAACTCACCATTAAAATTGATGATATAAATAAGCCAAATAGTATTATAATAAATATGATACCAAAGACCTGGAGAGCTGAAAAATAAAAACCATATAAATAATTTCATACAATGTAGATATTGCTTTTTGACATATATCACATAGGTATTTTTAATTCATAATGTATGAAAATACTTACATCCTCTAACATCAGCTTCAAATAATGGGTTCCAAATTTGAGTGGAATCTCCTCCAGCCATTTGATATCCAATAAAGGTTATCAGGACTATACTCATAGCTGCTGTGTATATAGCGACTGCATTGCTTCCAGCCTTGACGTTGGAGGACCAGATACATGGTGACCAACAAGATTCTAACAACGGCATTTTGCCAAACAACTTCTATATTATTAATAGGGATTTTTGTGATCTGAAAAACCAACAACAAATACATTTAGCCGTATATTTCCACCGAAAACAATATGCCACACCTCAAAACGCGTTCTTGTTTACCGTTTACAAAATTTTGTTTATAGTTTATATACCATAGGTTTTGTAATCAGGTTAATTGCTGCTTAATTTGATATTTTTATTGGTATACAAACTAATACTTCTTTCAAAAGTTAGTACTTAGTTTTATAACAAAACTTAACTTTTTAAAGTTTAGACGATTTTTTTAAATATTTAAAAGCTTCGTAAATCGTATGACAATTGACAATTAACGTATTATGCCAAACTTCAGATGTGGCGGTTGGCTGTTTGTCTTTTGTAAGCTTGACAGCGACCACTTTATTAGAATTTAACTATTAATAGATAGGTTCCTTTTAATTAATTATTATCCTTATTAAACTCTAACAATGCTTTGTAAAATCAAAATCACAAACTTAAGATCAATTAAACACATAAGTAATATTAATAGTAGTACAATTTTAACATTCTGATATATTATGTTAAATAAATTAGTAATTGCAAAATTACATAGATTTGTGGACATCATCTCTATGTCATATTTCGTATAGCGCAATTCTGCGACAGCCGACAGTAGGTATTATCATTTATCGCTAGGTTATGACGCCACCTATGACCTAAGGCTGCGTCCCCAGTATGCAAACTGTTCGCCGCCGACTGAGTTAGCGGCGTATGGGTTTAGTATGCAATTCCATATACGTATACTTTACGAGTGGAGTGTTCACACTTCACAGTTTGCTAGTTTTGCGAACAGTTTGCCTACTGGGGACGCAGCCTAATGTTAATTTATTAACAGGTATTTTATGGGGTCAACAATAAAGATCCGAGCTACTTCACGTAATCTGATTAAAAACCTTGAATAGGGGTTGTCGATTATTATACGAACATCTACATATTATATGAAATTTTCGTATCACAGTGTTCGAAACCAAACTCCTCCGAAATGCCTTAACGGTTTTATGTGTATATTCTGTAGCTGAATTGGTCTTGAACAATTACAACAATTATACCCCTATGTGGTAAGGGTTTACAATTTTTTATTTTATTTTAAATAATGTTATGTAAAATTACAATAAATAAACTCAAAAGACGAAGCTGTAAGTGCATTTTTGAAGTTATACTTCTTTAGGCGCGTTAGGAAAAATTTATGAGAGTGAAATTTTACAATGCGCGCGCACCCGTGACACAAAATTAGGAGTGTGATTATAGCGTGCGCGAGCGAGATAGGAATAAGACAATCTACAAGTAAAAAGAAATAGAATATGCGTGAAGTTCGTATGCCAACAATTTTTGAATGACCATAATGACATTTGTCATTTACCTTTTAAACAAATAAAGGAGTTTTAACATTGATATACAAAAACCCAAGATGCACAATCAACGTCTAAAAAACGTCCTCAAAAAATGAGCGCAACATTCTAAATTGTGCGCTCATTTCAAATAGTCTCGCGTCTATAAGTGGAGTCGATGTTATTTATTTGTGTTTTTTTTTATAAATAAATTTATGTACTCTTGAACTTTTTTGTGTGTAGTTTTTGACAAATATATTTACGCTATATAAAGTGTGGGTCAGGAGGTAGCCAATTTAACATTTTTTTTTTAATTTAAAGAAAAAACTTTTTAACCGGATTAATGTTATGTATTATTATAAATTTACAACTATTTAACATCCAACACCTTTTGTCTTCAGTCACCGTGACCACTCACGCTGTAAAGCACCCGAAAAGTCGGATAAATTTAAAATTATGTTAAATAGTTGTAAATAAAAAAGTCATGTTCCACTCCACTCAATACCTTGTCCTACCGACCACGGTCGGTCGTAAAATTTTATTGCTTTAAGTACGTATACACTGCGTTGTAATAACAACTTTAAGCAATTTGCGTAAGGTTGATTTTGCAATAATATATGCTTGTAACATATACTGTTATGGACAGAAATAGTGTTTCGGGACACTTTCGAGTGTTACTTTTATTCGAGACTGTGCATCTTGGGTTTTTTGTATATCAATGAGTTTTAATTATTTTTTCAAAGAAATTTAGCGATGCTTTTTGAATTATAATCAGAAGTGATTTAAATTGAATATTTAAACCAATACTAATTAATATTTGTGAAAAAACTGTGCTCATCAACCTTCCTAAGTGCTTCAATACAATTGAGGTTAACTATCCGTATGTATTATTATTATTATCGAGTAATGTTTTGATTAAAAAATTAATCACATTGTTTAATCAAAACATGTAATTTTTCTGATTTTATCTAGCAAATATAAGGAAAAGAGACAAAAAACAATTGATGAATCAGTGTAACTGCACTAAATTGAATACAAAAAAAGAGTTTTCATCTTATCGCTGTGAAACATCAAAAACTGGAGGTGGAACAAAGCCAAACTATTTTTAATATTGCCAAAGAAGTATAACTTCTTACGCGCGTACATAAGTACACGGACCCTTTTTTTTTAATTAAGTACTTACCTCGTAATCGTAGGTTTATGTTTAAAAAAAATGGTGCTTTTTCCGCCCCGAGTAAACCCTCTTCTCCCTTTAAATATTAAATAATAATTATTCGAGTACTTATGGGGGGGGAAAAATTTTTTTTTCTTCTTTTTTTTTTTTTAAATATTAAATAATTAATAATATAAATATTTAACGTTAATAATTTAATAATACATATTTAATATTTAGTATATTATTCAATTATTAATTAATATTAATAATAATAATAATAATTATTTAATATTTTATTATATTATTCATTCATTCATTTAATAACTAGGTATGTTTCATAACCTTTTAAAACTCAAAACTCTTACAAGTAAACTTACTTGTAAACAAGTACACTTATGAATTGTCAAGTTAAATTAATTGTAAATTTACAATTACTACCAGTTCGCAAGTCAAGGGCGTAGAGCGGGTAAGAAGAGCTGGCAAGAAACTTTCCGCCACTCTTTTTAATCGCCAAGTTTTAACTAAGTAACAGTAGGTCTTTGTGAAAAAGCATTGCTAAATTTCTTTTAAAAAATAATTAAAACTCCTTTATTTGTTTAAAAGGTACTACAAAGGTCATTCAAAATTCTTGGCATAGCTGCTAACTTCACGCATATTCTATTTATTTTTACTTGTAGATTGTCTTATTCCCAACTCGCTCGCGCACGCTCGGCGTCCGGCTGGTTTAAAAAGAATTCGTTAGTGGGCAACTTCATACTGATAATTTTGTGTCACGGTGCGCGCGCATCGCAAAATTTCACTCTCATCAATTTTTCATAACGCGCTTAAAGAAGTATAACTTCAAAAATAAAATTACATAGACCAAAATACTTTTAATGATTAAACGGGTTTGTTTTTCGCATTGACCTCGGTTAGAAAAGGAAAATCAAACACAACTAAACCAATATTAGATATCTATAATATTTGCAAGTGTCGAAGTATTTGCAATATTAGATAACCGTTAGACTTCAAACTAATACCTAATTTGATAAGTTATAGATAAGATGAAAGTTATTGACCGATATAAATTGACGGCAAAACAAGTGAGTAGAGAAAATTTGATAAATAATAACGAATTGTTTTCTATGTCTAGTCTTAGTTCGTTGCCTACTGCACAGCGCTTAATAAGCGATCCTGGCACCGATTTTAGCGTAAACATTGTTTTGGTTTATACAAAATATTGTTTAGGCGTCACAAATATTGGAATTGGCACTTTGTTGAAAGTATCAATTCTAATTATTTAGTATAGGTTTAATAATTTACAGCGTGGTACAAAAATATGTTTATGCAAAATAATATAATTTGCTGCTTAGTAGAAAATTGTGTATAAGTATTCCACTTGGTTGTCGGCTGAAATCATAATATGTCAAAAGGGGTTCACGGATGAGTGATGAAACAAAAATCTTAGTGGATTTGCGTCATACATTAAATTTTTCTTTTAAGTCATGCTGCTTTCTTAATTATTTATTTTCCTAAAAAGAAGCTTATTATATTAACACAAATATCAAATATTTTTACTTTGGATAAAACCGAATTCTGTAATAGGATTAAATGTTTATCAGTAGTATCGGCGCAAAAATGTCATACGTATAGGACTTAAAATTAATTTCCACTTTTTAAAGATCAATTCAATAACACTTAAAGAAATATATTTTTGGCAACTAAAAGATCTTTGTGTAATAAAATTAGATCACATCTGGGTTACATTTTCCAAATTATGGTAGAATTAAAAATGTGGTATGCTATCACTAAAATTAAATTTGATTAGGTTAGACGTTAGCTATTATACGCATATGAAAAAGGAATTAAAGATTGGATATGTAATATTTAAACTGTTTGCCCAGTGGCTCCCGCGCGCGACTCTCATCCCTGAGGTCGTAGGTTCTTTCCCGCTGTGCACCTTGGACTTTCTTTCTATGTGCGCTTTTAACATTCGCTCGAACGGTGAAGGAAACATCATGAGGAAACCGGCTTGCCTTAGACCCAAAAAGTCGAGCGCGTGCGTCAGGCACAGAAGGCTGATCACCTACTTGCTTATTGGATTAACAAATGATCATGAAACAGATACAGAAATCTGAGGCCCAGACCTAATAAGGTTGTAGCACCATTGATTTATTTATTTTTTGTAATATTTATAAACTAATAGGTACTATGACCTACAAATGACTAAAAACCAAAGCCTTAACAATACGTACCTATTGTAATTGACAGAAACAATATTGAATATGTCTAATACCTGGGATGATGATCCTTCACAGATCTAAGTTCTAAGGAAGTCGATATAGGAATACGAAATACGTGGAACAAATATTTGAAATAATGATAACAAAGATATTTGTATAGCCATAAAGAAAAAGATACCTGTATTCTTCCAGTTTTTAAATACGGCTGCCAAACTTGGGCCCTTACCTTACTAATAGTAATGTAAGGGACAA